CCCTGGGTGTGAGTCGGGTGCCAGGCAAGCCAATTTCGGCTGTTGATCGGTTGTTTTTTGTAAAACGGTGGCGGGGAGTAGAAGTGGGGCACAGCGGCCGCCATCACTTCCATCTGATTCGGCGTCCCGGCGGCCGATCAAAAATCCCGGTGCCCAGGCCTCTCTGTACCCGCCCCTCCGGCCCAATGCGGTTGGTCACTGCTCCCGCCAGTCACATGCAGGCAGGTGGCAGTCACAGACCCTCGCTTCCGATTGGTCAAACTGCCTCCTCTCCTCTGCCATGGCCGGACAGAGCAATATCAGCGCCGCCTCCTGATTGGTCAAGGCCGCTTCCAGTCCCTCCTATGCCAGTGGCAAGCGCCGCTGTCTGTCAAACGAGGCTCAGACCTCTGATTCGCTGGTGGGAGGGGAGGGGTGCCTGATTGGCTAAGGCTCCTGCGTTCCCGCGTCCCTGTTGGTGGACGCTCAACGGGGCAACCCAGTGCCAGTAGCGGATTGGCTGCCGTCCAAGGAGTAAAATTGGTCAAGTCCCTCCTAGATGACCCCTTAGTAGATGCCTGCGCTGACCTTTGACCCCTCCACCTCCCATCTTATCCTGGATTCACCCTTGACATCTGACCCCACATCCCCCCCCTCCCCTTGGGCACCTGGGTTTGCCCCGCCACCAGTGTTGGACGCCAGTCCCAGGCGCTTCCTGCCTCAGTTTCCCCTTCCCCAAGTTGGCGGGGGGGCGGCTGCCCTGTCCTAAGGGAGGGCCTTGTGGAGGGATTCATTAGTGTTACAAGGAGAAACTGAGGTCCAACTGCCCTTGGTGCCACAAGATGCCTGCCAGGGTCATGTGACCCCTCTGGGGCCTGCCTCAATGGAAAGGGGGACAAACATGGCCGCCCCCAGTGTGACCCATTGGAGGCAGAGGCCCCGGGGGCCATTGGGACGTCGGGGCTCCCACGCCTTGGAGCCCTGCATCCTCCCTCAGCAACATGGCTGCCATCCCGCTTGCCCTGTTGGCCCCAAGGCAACGGATATGGTAGGCCAAGAGGCTCACCCTGCTGACAGGATGCCAACCCATTGGCATCCACCCAACATGGCCACCCATTGGCAACAGCATTGGCAAGACAGCCTGAGGGGCAGGGCCCTGCTCCCTCACCACTGCATGGAGGCAACATGGTTGCCGTGGGCATGGCCAGGGGACCAACGTAACTGCCCTTGGCGTGAGCAGGCACTGCCCTACCCCCAACTGGGGGGGGTGGGGTAGCTGGAGAAGGCTGCAGCCTGGGCATCTCATTCATTATTCATGCACCAGCATCTTCTTTGCATGATTAATGACTCCAGAAGCTCATTAGCTTCTTAACCCGGCTGGCCCGCAACGATATGCGCACTGTCTCTCCATGGTGCCCCTCACTCCTAGCCCACAGCCCTGCTGTTGCCCTTCACTCCTGAATGGCAGCCTATGGGTGCCCCTCACTCCCAACCTGCAGCCCTCTGCGCCCCCCTGGTACCCCGCACTCCCGACCCGCAGCCCAGGTTTGTTGGCGGGGGGCAGGGCAGTCCCAAGCTAGTTCTGGGCTTCCATTAGCTATTTCACCTCCTTTATTATTGATCCTGGTAGCTGGCCTTTTGCCTGGCAGGGACTTGCTGTTCCAGGCTTGCCTGGATGCCTGGGTCCCTTCTGCCTTAACCCTTCATGCTCTGGGGAAGCTCCCTGCTGCCCTCTGCTCCCTCCCCATTCCTCCACAGGGCTGATCAGGGCCTAGGGTGGAGAGGTGATCCCCAAGTAGACTTGCAGGCTGCTGGGATGGAGGGATGTTGAAAGAAAGGCAGGAGGAGAAAGAGAATAAAGGAGGGAGGGAGGAGCTGGCACAGATGGGTCAGAAGAAGCAGAAGAGAGAGGGAAGGAGAAAGCCTGTTGGTGGAAAGGGAGATCAAGATTCAGGGCCAGGCGGAGCAATACATCACACAGAGGGAGAGACAGGAGACAGGAGCCCTGGCAGATGAGAAGACAGAGGGCGGAGGGACGGAGACAGAACCAGGCAGCGCTCAGACGGACAGAGACCAGGAGGAAGACAGTGACACGAAAAGACAGGCCCAGACAGAGGAACAGAGCCAAGCCCGCTGGAAGGAAAGGTGAAAGACCATCTGATGGAGAGATATGAGGCAGAGCCTCGCTGAAGGGACAGCACTGGGCTCTGGGAAAGCAGGGAATGTGGAAGACCATGTAATGGAGCAATAGGGAGAGTAACGGGTGGCTCAGGGGAAGAAGGAAATGTGGACAACTGCCTGGCGGAGAGACACAAGACAGACCCAGCCAGAGGGGTAGACCCAGGCACGCCGGAAGGTGGAAGATTGCATGACGGAGAAACAGCTTTTGTGAAGCTGGAAAGAGAGAACAAGACAGGCCCCAGGTACAGAGAGAACTTGAAGAAGGGAGTGCGGGAGGCAGCGTGACGGAGAGAGAGAGCACAGGACAGAGCTCTGATGGAGGGCTAAAGCTGGGCTGGCTGGAAAGAGCGAGTGTGGGAGGACACGGAGCCCAGGTGGAGTGAAGGGCTGGGAAGGAGGGAACATGCCAGGCTGGTGATGGAAGGATAGGACACGGAGCCTGCTGAAGCAAGACCTTCGGAAGAAGAGAGCGTGTCTGGCCAGGGACAGAGGAACAGAAGGAGGCGGGGCCTGGGGCAAGAAGGTTTGGAAGGAGGGAACGTGGCAGGCTGCGACAGATGAATAGGAACGCACAGAGCCTGATGGAGTGAGAGGTTTGGGAGGGAACGTGGCAGGCCAGAGACAGATGAACGGGAGCGCACAGAGCCTGGTGGAGTGACAGGTTCAGAAGAACTGAACGGGGAAGACGGTGACAGAGGGATAGAGGGGCACGGCCTGGCAGAGCAAGACTTGGAAGGAGGGAAGGTGGCAGACCTGTGACAGAGGAGTAGAAGGACACAACACCCAGCAGAGTGAGCGCAGGAAGGAGGGAGGGTGCCCAGCAAGCGACAGAGAGAGGGGGCCATGGCAGGCACCCCCCCGCCACCGCCACGGGGTGACATCCCGCGCAACCTGAGCTACATCGCGGGGCTGTACGAGCGCGCCTACTACCGCACCGCCCGGCCCAGCCTGGCTGACGACTCAGAGGACTCGGAGCCCGAGGGGCGCTCGCGCCGCTCCACCCGGCCCCGTGCCCCCCGGCTCCGGACCCGCCGGACCCGCACCCGCCAGAGCCGTCGGGCTCACTCTGCCCCACCGGGGCCAGGGGCGGGGGCTGGGGGGGGCTCGGGGCGGTCACGCAGCCCCGGGGCGCGCAAGCGGGTACGATTCGCTGACGCGCTGGGGCTGGAGCTGGCCAGTGTGCGGCAGTTCTGGCCAGCCCAGCTGCCCGAGGTGCCCGAGCGCGTCCAGGCCCAGCTACGGCGGGGCTCCCTCAGCCACTTCCCACCCTGCCTGCCCTACATCAAGGTGAGGGGTGGGGCAACAGGCTGGGGTGGAGCTATGGGATTGCTAGGGGGTGGGGCTACAGACTGGAGAGGTGGGGGGAATGGCAGGGGGCTGGGGGTGAGGCTACAGGCTGGGGGGTGGGCTATGGGATGCTGGTGGAGCGGACCTACAGGCTGGGGGAAGGGGTATAAGGGTGCTGGGGATGGGGCTATGAGGCAACTGTGGGGTGGGCCTACAGGCTGGGGGCAGGGCCCTTGGGGGTGAAGTGTGTGGCTACAGGCGATGGGGGCAGTGTGCCCACCCATTCACTGCTGACCACTGTCTCTCTCCCCGGCAGGCAAGCAGTGGGGCAGCGCCGTGGGCATGGGCAGCGGCAGAGGCAGAGGTGGGGGCACGGCTGGCAGCGCAGGCGGTGGCACTGGAAGGGGCACGGGCAGAGGGGGTGGGCGTGGCGGGGACACTACGCGTGCTGGACCTGGCCTATGAAAAGCGGGTGAGCGTGCGCTACACATGGGATGGCTGGGCCAGCAAGCGCGAGGCCCCGGCCGCCTACGCCGGCCCTGCGCCACCCCCCCCTGGTGCCTGCCCACCCACCGCACCTGGTGCCGACCGCTTTGCCTTCCGCCTGCCCCTGCCACCGCCTAGTGCCACCCTGGAGTTTGCCCTGCGCTACTGTGCTGCTGGCACCGAGTTCTGGGACAACAATGAAGGCCACAACTATGCCCTGCGCCCTACCGTGCCACTTGCTGGCTCCCCCCGTGAGCTGCCCCCTAGTCCCCTGCCCCTTCCTGACTGGAGCCGCTTTGCCTAACACCGCCCCGGTCCCACCGGGACCTCCACTCAGCTCATGGCCCTCACCCAGACCACTGGTCTTGGCCCCGCGACTCTTAACCGGCACCCTCCACACCCCCCCCTCGTGCAGGCTCACGGCCCCAGATGGGACCCTGGCCCCAGCCTCCAGCCACAGCCCTGCACATCCCAGCCAGGGCATCCCAGCACACCCCAGGTGGGTCCCCCTCCCCATGATCCCACAAGGCCCGTGACCCCTGCACTACACCCCACTCCGCCAGCCAGGAACACTGGCCTTGGTCCTAGGATCTCAGGCCCCCCATCCCCAGCCAGGCCCCCCAGCTGCACCACAAGAAGGCGCCCTGAAATACACTCTGCCCAGAGGGCCCAGAGGCACCCCCCCCTCCCCGCCACAGCTATGGCCTGATGGGGGGCAGGACTCCCCATCTGCCCCTGGGGGCAGGGCTAGCTACACCTGAGGGGCATAGCCACCAGGGGCTCCTCCCACCAGGCCAGAGGCACTCCTGCATGGAGGATGCTGGGCATGGGTGCACTACTGCCATGGAGGCCGCACTGCCTGACAATAAAGACAATGAAGTCTAGACTGGTCAAGCTGGTGCGTCCCTAGTGTTCATCTGTCCACCCACAGCGCGGGGCTGCCCGGGGTGTCTCCGGGACCGCTGGGGGTGGGGAGAGAACCCAGGCATCGAGCTCCCAGCCACAGCCGGAGGGGCAAGGATGCAGAGCTACCACGGGTGACACGTGATGGACCCCAGCCCCATCTCCAGACATAATTATTGCGCTGCCTGTTTTCCCACATGACCCCAGAGGTCTGGGTGTGGGGGGGGGAGGAGGCGAATCGAGCAAGGGGCAAAGAGAAATGGAGGCCTGGACGCTGTTTCCCCCTAGCCCTGCTGGTGCCCCTCACTCCCGACCTGCAGCTCCCCCCACCAGGAAGCCAGGGCACAGCTGCAGAAACAAAAGGGGGAGGGATGAAGGGAACCCT